GATGGCCTCCTGCTACCCTCTGCCAGTGAAAATGGGCTCACAAAGGTTTTTTTTTGCTGTGATGGCCTCCTGCTACCCTCTGCCAGTGAAAACTGAGTTCGGGAAGGCTGCGTGTGGCCCTCCCAAACTCTGTTTTCATTGGCAGAGGGTAGCAGGAGGCTGTGGCAGCCGAAAACGAAGCTCGGGAGCCTGTTTTTGCTGGCAGAAGCAGCACAGGTCGGTCCTTTGCTGTTTCTGGCCTGTTTCCACAGGCCAGATCTAAGTACCCCATGGACCAGATCCGGCTCCCAGGCCTTGAGTTTGACACCACTGGCCTAAGGGGAAGGGCAGCCTTAATTTAGGCCTGCCCTTGAGATCCACAAGCTGGTGAGATGGGAACTGGGCATTTCAAGCTTAAAGTAAAATAAAATAAGCAAAGTCTTTTTGGCCCTCACTACTGAATGTAATACTTTGGAGCTGCCTCTATATGTTTAATTTCTTCATATTTGTTTAGTAAAATGATGCTTCTTTGATTGCTGTCCTATTTTCAAGGAAAGCACAGTAATAATTTTGTCATGTACTTGAATTGCTCTTTACTGTGAAGATTAAAGTAAGACTTCAAAATAAGATTAAGACTACTACTTCCAAACCACCCCCGTTTCCTTCTTTTTAATTAATTCACCATAGAGAGGACTTCTAAGAGAATAATGCAAACTTTGCTAACTAGCCTTGAGGTTTGGGAGCTGAGGTGGACAGTACTGGAACGTTCATGGAAGTACAAAACCTGGATATGACAGCTGAGTATATACGTTGTTTACTTCTCTTTCTTTTGATGTTTCCAAAATGAGGCCAAGAGGCTTTGGGGAATTTGAAGGAATGGTTGTTGGAGGTGTTAACAATTTCACTGTGGTGATGGCATTCTTTAAAGGACTAGTAGTACAGTATACAATTGCAACAAATAATTAAGGTTGAACAAAGAGAAAATACTTTTTGGGAGGGTATATGTTTTATTTGCAGTTTGCCTTTAACAACATTTTTGTGGACTGGGTAATGACTGGGTTAACATATTTTTCACACAGTGCTCCCAATACTAATACAGTTACATATACAGAAATTTTGTCTTCCAACTTCTAACCTTAACGTGCTCATTATAATATATTCTTTTATATTATACTATATTTTTTGCATCCTGTTCATCATAATACCTTTAGATATACCTAGTCCTAGTCTTTTAAATATTAGCAGAGATCTGTGATTTTCTAGCCGTTTTCGCTGCAACATCAACCGGAAGTCCCAACAAAGAAAAATTTTAATAGGGGGGGGATGTTCCTACAACATGCTTCCAAGTGCAGTTTATTACATCTTGAGCACATGCTGAGGGTAGCCTAACTCACCAAGCTAAAATGTAGATTTTTTTTGGGGGGGGGGGGATAAGCTGTATCTGTTAGAAGAGCCAGAATGTCCCTTTCAAGCATGTAAATTCTGATTTGTTACAGCTATTTGGAAAGTCACAATTTTAAATAGCTCTTCCATAGAATATTTATGGAAGTGCAATTTCACATACTTCAGAATTGTGATATAGGAATATACAGTATGGATTGGGGGGGGGGATTTAACAACTTTCCCTAACGTATCTCCTTGTTTGCTTAAAGATATAAAGACAAGTTTTAAAATAGTAATAAGTGATTGACATCCTATTTTACTGGAGAACATCTAAAAGCCTGTTTTGGTTTCTGTTCTTTTAGGAGGTATGTAAAAGTTGTTGGAGTTATAAGCATGCAGCCTTTGCCACACTTGTAGCCTTTTTGAAAGTCTATAGGCATTTGTACTTATCCTCCCTTATCCATCCAGTCTCAACTGTCAGTACCTCTCCTTCCATCCCCCCCCCCTCCCGCACCACCATGATGACTGATGAGACTTCTTGGATGAGAAGTGAAATGTTTTCTTCTTCCTCCTCAAGGAAAAAAAAACAGTCCAGTTGCCTTGTGAAAAAGCTCCTTTGAGACCTTATCCAAGTTCTCCCCCCCTCCCCCAAGCTTATTTTTCTGGCAGCAGACCAGAAAAGTAATATTCTGGCAATTGGAAGATGACAAAAATAACCGAAGAAGTCAAATGTAGTCTTTTCACAAGATAAAAACAAGCCTCTTTATTTTAAAATGTAACATTACAATTCAAGAGAAGGAAATGAACGTGGTAGAGCCAGGGCTGCCTCTTTTAGCCTCTCCGATGATTGGAGAGAAAAAGGCAAATAGTGTCAAACAAAACATACCTAAAATACCCCATTCTTCTTAGTTTCTTGATTATATATAAAAAGTAGTAACGGATATAAATAAAACACAAGACTGGCCCTCTTCAATGCAGTCAGAATTTCAACAGCCATGTGAATAAAATGGACTCAAATGCTTTAATAAAGAAACTCAGCTTATGACTGGAAGGAACAGCCATCTTCATTCAATGCAATTCAGTGCAAAGAGAGTGTGTGTGTCCCTTGGCCTTCATGCAATAGCTTTCCCTCCCAAGAAACAAACTTAAAGTGCTCCAAGTGCATTATAAAACTGATAAAAGGAGAAAGTCAAGGTATTTGGGGCAGAGAAAGGAGTAGCTCAACTAGTCTTTGGTGGCTTGTTGAAAAAAAGGGCAGACAATTCAAGTCTTGGCTAAATTTTTGCTACAAGTCAAGGACCAGTTAAGCAGGGAGGGAAGGAGAGAGGTCTTAAGAGCAAAGCCTTATAGTAATATGGTCAAGGAATGTTTGAAATAACTCAAGTTTCATGTGTCAATACTGAAAAAATTACCTCTCTCCTTCCTACCCCAAATTTTGAACACTGTGCAGCAAATAGTTCTCCCAGCACATGTGAAATGCTGACTGCTGTGCCCATGTGATTAATACCTGAAGCTATACCTAGCACATCCAGGGAAGTCAACTCAGTGGTCCAGCCTAACTCAAGAAGAATAAAAAGGGCACGGCACTGCAGCTGTTAACTGCAGAACATACAATCTGCTTGCATTGCAGCTGAGGTGAAACAGCTGTAAAACATCTTGGGATTAGAAGCACTTCAAATTCCTCCCAACAGTTTTGCAGCCATCTCTTAAGAGTTTATGCCAGTCTTCTCCCAAATGTATGGAGACTCTCAACTCCTAGATTTCCTCAATTATAACCCCTGGCAGCTGCAGTGCTAATCTACTTACAGACACCATGGTGGAGATGGATGTTTTACACACACCAGTTCTCTTCTTGCTATAGTTCAGTTTCTCTTATCTTGGCCACTTTAAGGTGTGTGGACCTCAACTCCCAGAAATCCCTAGCCAGCCATGGGAGGGATTTCTGGGAGTTGAAGCCCACACCTCTTAAAGCAGTCAAGGTTGAGAAACACTCCTCTGCTTTGATAATCAGTCTTTGCTCCAGATGAAGAGTGCTCCTAATCACAACCCCACATCAGGAAATCCATCTAATTATGCAGAGAGGATCTCCACACCATCTTGAGTTTATGTGCCTTGCAGTGAGGAAGATGGAAGAACTGACAGCCTTGCCAGTGCAGCCATCTTTACAGAGAATTAGTATTGATTAGAAAGCAGCTATGGGAATTCAAGAACTTCAAAAGTGATCCCACAGCTACTCTTTGGCCAAGGAGTGAGTTGTAATACATGTTAGCAGTAACAGAGGGAGAAATGATTAGAAACAAAAACCATTTCGTTTGGAATCATTCACCTCCGGTTGATAACTTCAATTTCAAAATGCTAAACATACTGTAGAGTCCCAAAAAATTATTTTCCAGACTTTTTTTTTTTAGTATCTTCAAGTCAGTCTTGACTCCCATACACTGCCTGTACAAGACCCTGCATTTTGACAAGGTTTTCAGAAATGGATTGCCACTGTCTCCTTCTTATGTCTAAGAGGAAGGTACTGGCCCAGAGTCACCCAGCTGGTTTTGTGCCTAAAATGGGATTAGAATTGTCTCCTAGTTTCTAACCGGATGCATTACCACTATACCAAACTGGCTCACACTTACACTTAAGGAGGGTTAAGCCATAGCTCCTTGTAATCTTCTTTGTGGGCTATATCACTGGAGATGCTAGGGTTGTTAATTCACTTCTTGAAGGCAATAGGTTCATTTGTCCCCATTGTAACATTAGGGTAGTGTTTTAAGTTTCTTTTCAACTAGGAGCGTGCGGGATCCAACAGTTCTATTCAATATAGGCACATGTACTCTTTTCACAAGGGAATAAAATGCATTTGGTCCCACCATATAGAGATTCACCAAAAACGTGTTCAGGAAACCTGGAAGTTACCAAGAGTCCCACCAGGCTAAGATT